TCGGGTGTTGTGTTAGAGGCACGAGACACGACAATGTCTTGGTGTTACAAATTACTTTGTAGATTATCAACGACAAATAAACGACATTGGTATATGTTATTAGATCATAAAATGGTTAGGTTTGGAAAGTATTGGGATATGGCAAATTATCTGAGCGATGTACTGGTCGATAGGGCACGATCGAAATACCAGAACACAGTGACACGGTGGTCGGTGGATCTCTGTAAATATGGACCTGTCCTGGTCTGTATCACAGGGGCATGAGAAATAGTTACAGTCTTGGTGAATATGGACCTATCCTGGTCTGTATCACAGGGTTCTGAAAAACAGTCATAGTGTTGGTAAATTAAGATATGTGGTGGTCTGTATCACAGGGACTAGAGGATAAGTTACGGTCTGGGTGAAAATAGATCTGTCCTAGTCTACATCACAGGGGCCTGAGAAATAGTCACGGTCTGTGTGAATATGGATCTGTCCTGGTCTGTATCACAGGGGCATGATAAATAGTCACGGTCTGTGTGAATATGGATCTGTCCTGGTCTACATCACAGGGGTCTGAGAAATAGTCACGGTCTGGGTAAATAGGGATCTGTCCTGGTCTACATCACAGGGGCCCTGAGACTTTGTAATCAAGAGTAAACCCCATATAAGAGTGTAAGACCAGAAGAGGAACTGCTTTTTGAAGTCAGAGATATACCACATCTGTTAAGACACGATCAGCCTAAGTGATCACATACTATCATATTTATCCAATCACTACGAGCATATTACAGATATCTTGTGGCATATAGACGCGCGTGACATATTTGGTATTGTGATAACGCTATATAGACATCATTAACACGTTTATAGAGAGCTCTAACATAACGCGTGCGATTTGTTGTAACACGACAGTCGCATTAGCTCCAGGTCAGGTAAATAGTGTCGAATGACGGACTCCGCGCGCTGTTTCCTTTCACAAAAAGCAGAAAAACCGTAAAAATATAAAGATATATATGGATGCAATATCCGATTGTGGTTACCTATTAGTTATATATAGGGTCACTATTTCACTTAATGACATACATTCAAACAATTTTTTGTTGGATAAGGTAGGAAATTCATTGCCTGGACTGAGTTTGAGTCTGTCATTTACAACGGTTACAATAACAACTTCAATACCGACATGTATACAAATGCTTATATCAATCTCAAGATGAATTGAATGAATGTAACATTAAAAGGTGATTCTTTCAACAGCACAAGACCAGGTGTTAAGGAAGGGTAAGCGTCTTTTGCTTCATCGACAACACCCGCCATGTATCTTGGTCAATCCAAGTATAATGCCACGTTCTCAAATGAGAACAATGTAAACAACAATGAAAGAGCGTGATATCGTAAGGAATCGGCAAACTTTTTACCATCTCGTCACACTTTTTTCGACCTTAGTGTACATTGGATTTTAGTACAGCCGAAAACATTGGTTGATTCCTGACCACCTCGGACACTACGTACGTCAGTGGTAGTATGTTACACACTGGTCGTTTGTGTTATTGTCAGCGTCCAGATTCGGTACCTCTCTAACGTCATTGTCAGACACTTTAATATACTCGTATCAGCGTCCAGATTCGGTACTTCTCTAACGTCATTGTCAGACTCTCTAATATACTCGTATCAACGTTCAGATCCGGTACCTCTCTAATGTCATTGCCAGACTCTTTAATATACTTGTATCAGCGTTCGGATTCGGTACCTCTCTAACGTCATTGTCAGACTCTCTAATCTACTCGTATCAACGTTCAGATCCGGTACCTCTCTAACGTCATTGTCAGACTCTTTAATATACTCGTATCAGCGTCTAGATTCGGTACCTCTCTAACGTCATTGTCAGACACTTTAATATACTCGTAGCAGCGTTCGGATTCGATACCTCTCTTACGTCATTGTCGTGTTCCATTTGGCACAACACAATTACTACTATGTCGTGAGAGAGAGTTAAAAACAGGTGTGTTGCCGACAATCGTGTTTTACTGTTCCTTTACAGACCTGTTATCGTTGTAATATGATAATTAGGGATGTAAATTGTTAAAGTGACACTGAATGTCGCGTGTCGTCTTGTAATATCGACAGTACATCTGTAAACTCACAGAAAAGCTACGTTCTTGTTTCTGACCGCTGAAGTTGGCGTCCTTTTATAGAAACAACAACATGAACAAATATTTAATTATCAATAAACGATGTTTCGTCAGTTAAGAAATTACGGAGCAAAAAATTCCGTCAGCTGTGACACATTTGTATTAAAAGATCAATCACGTGTACATTTGATAAAAACAAATTTAGGTGTATGCATTTTGTTCAGGGTTTAAATCGGATATCGTATTTAAATGTCGAAAGTTCAGAAATCTTACAATGATCTCCGAGTATTGATGTGTTTTACAATGACTCCAGAGAGTTACCGAACGCCTTTTAAAAAGGGAGAGATTGAGGGTTATTAGACGATGAAATTTCAACGGTTTGATATCGTTCCATATCGTTTTAGTGTGAATATCATTTTGCTTATAGGCTTCAATTTCAACACGATTTTAAATGTTGAATTGTGAATTTATACAGTATCCCGGAACTAAAATCATTAGGGTATAATATTACATACTAAATGACAGAAGGAATGCCAAATCGTGTTTTAATACAACCGACTGAGGTACATCGAGTCATCGTTGATCTTAATTCGGCTAAATAGAACCGAGATAGTTTAGTTGGGTTTTTTATTTATAGAAATTGAAACAAATGAATTCAGCACAATATGAAAGATATCTTAACACTGCATGTGTCAGATTTTGATGTTAGGATTTTGGAAGGTTGTGGCTTTGAAAATTGTATACACGTCATCAACTCTTTTCAAAGTACCGTTTTAATTTTGTGTACACGTCACAAACTGTCCGATACACTTTTCACAAAATAATGTTGTGTACACGTCACAAACTGTCCGATACACTTTTCACAAAATAATATTGTGTACACGTCACAAACTGTCCGATACACTTTTCACAAAATAATGTTGTGTACACGTCACAAACTGTCCGATACACTTTTCACAAAATAATGTTGTGTACACGTCACAAACTGTCCGATACACTTTTCACAAAATAATATTGTGTACATGTCACAAACTGTCCGATACACTTTTCACAAAATAATATTGTGTACACGTCACAAACTGTCCGATACACTTTTCACAAAATAATATTGTGTACATGTCACAAACTGTCCGATACACTTTTCACAAAATAATGTTGTGTACACGTCACAAACTGTCCGATACACTTTTCACATGCTTTACATTGTATACACGCATGCATCCCAACTTATTTCAAACCAAATTCCAGAATTTTGCAGAAACTGATGAAGATAACGAGTAATCAAGAAGTTGTGTAAAATCACTAATTCGCAATAAATGATAATTAATTGACAAGTAATATTTAAATGATAAAACTGCAGAACTTGTGATATTTTGTACACGTCACAAATTGACTGTTACACTCTACATATGGTTGATTTTGTGTACACGTCATAGCATGACCGATACACAAGTTTGTGTACACGTCATATACTGACTGATAGACAAGTATGTGTATACGTCATATACTGACCTAACCAATACACAAGTTTGTGTACACGTCATGTACTGACCTGACCAATACACAAGTTTGTGTACACATCATATACTGACCTGACCAATACACAAGTTTGTGTACACATCTATACTGACCGATACACAAGTTTGTGTACACATCTATACTGACCGATACACAAGCTTGTGTACACGTCATTACCTGACCGATACGCAAGTTTTGTACACGTCATAGCTTGACCGATACACAAGTTTGTGTACACGTCGTTACCTGACCGATACGCAAGTTTTGTACACGTCATAGCTTGACCGATACACAAGTTTGTGTACACGTCATAACCTGACCGATACATAAGTTTTTAACAAGTCCTATATAAGGACGTATCTAGAACACATTTCCAATCCCATATTCTATTATTGTGTAACAACCGTTTGTAGCATAGCAACGGATCTGTTGTTGTGTACAGAGGCACTGATGGAATGCTATATGTTAGTAAAAGTATATGTGATTAAGAAGGAAGAGGGGGTTAATACACACACCTGTACTCAGACTAGTCTGTTTTTCATCTATGACCTCAATTTTCAAATAAAATCATTTAAACACATATCGTTTGGCTCACTATGAACCGAGAATGTAAGGGTAGTACATATACAGTATCCTACCTGTAGCAGTCGTCCGCTCCTCGGAGTCCTAGTATATCCTGATCTAAACTCTGCAAAAATGTATGTCATTACATGCACAACATTAATTCATAACGCAGAAATTTGAGTAAGGAAAATTCTATAGAAATCACAAAAATAGATTTGTATTCGTGTGTGTGACGTATGACCATCCCGGATAAGGAAAAAGCACCCAAGTGTGCAGTACAGGTACAAAGGACATAACCGCCGTACATCCTTCTTATGTTACCAGTGTAAATATGTCAACAAAAATTGCGCAAGCTTTGTAAAAAAATCAATATAATACGGTACAAATATAGGACATGTTTACAATATTATAAGGTGTGACAGCAGAATGTTTTAATAAAATTTTTCCATGTATCACATAACATACATCTAATCGTATGCTACCTATCTCAGGGGGGACGGACGGCGAGACGGACGGACGTTACAACAAAAGTTTGCGTCCTTACCACGCCGGGATCACAATATTAATGAGTCGGGGTCTACCTAAAGCAGCTGACTGTTATTTCAATGAACAACGTACGGGAAACTTTTCGCATGTAATTGATATTCTGATCGCCCATAGTTACTGTCCTTCGTTTTACTCTATCAGTAAGGGTGTCGTGTGGCGCAGTGGAAAAGTCCTTGCCTTTCACATAACGGCCGGGGAATCGACTTTCAGAACGGCCTTGGAAAGGTAGGGGGTCACCTGTCTCAAAACGGCCGTGGAATGGTAGGGGTTCACCTGTCTCAGAACGGCCGTGGAAAGGTAAGGGGCCACCTGTCTCAGAATGACTGTGGAATGGTAGGGGTTCACCTGTCTCAGAACGGCCGTGGAATGGTAGGGTATCACCTGTCTCAGAACGGCCGTGGAATGGAAGGGGGTCACCTGTCTCAGAACGGCCTTGGAAAGGTAGGGGGTCACCTGTCTCAAAACGGCCGTGGAATGGTAGGGGTTCACCTGTCTCAGAACGGCCGTGGAAAGGTAAGGGGCCACCTGTCTCAGAATGACTGTGGAATGGTAGGGGGTCACCTGTCTCAGAACGGCCGTGGAATGGTAGGGTATCACCTGTCTCAGAACGGCCGTGGAATGGAAGGGGGTCACCTGTCTCAGAACGGCCGTGGAAAGGTAGGGTATCACCTGTCTCAGAACGGCCGTGGAAAGGTAGGGGGTCACCTGTCTCAATACGGCCGTGGAAAGGTAGGGGATCACCTGTCTCAGAACGCCAGTGGAAAGGTAGGGGATCAGCTGTCTCAGAACGGCCTTGGAAAGGTAGGGTATCACCTGTCTCAGAACAGCCGTAGGGGGTCACCTGTCTCAGAACGGCCGTGGAAAGGTAGGGGATCACCTGTCTCAGAACGCCCGTGGAAAGGTAGGGGATCAGCTGTCTCAGAACGGCCGTGGAAAGGTAGGGGTTCACCTGTCTCAGAACGCCCGTGGAAGGTAGGGGATCAGCTGTCTCAGAACGGCCGTGGAAAGGTAGGGGTTCACCTGTCTCAGAACGCCAGTGGAAAGGTAGGGGATAAGCTGTCTCAGAACGGCCGTGGAATGGAAGGGGGTCACCTGTCTCAGAACGGCCGTGGAAAGGTAGGGCATCAGCTGTCTCAGAACGGCCGTGGAAAGGTAGGGTATCACCTGTCTCAGAACGGCCTTGGAAAGGTAGGGGGTCAACTGTCTCAGACCGCCCGTGGAAAGGTAGGGGATCACCTGTCTCAGAACGGTCGTGGAAAGGTAGGGGATCACCTGTCTCAGAACGACCGTGGAAAGGTAGGAGATCACCTGTCTCAGAACGGCCTTGGAAAGGTAGGGGGTCACTTGTCTCAGAACGACCGTAGAAAGGTAGGGCATCGGCTGTCTCAGAACGGCCGTGGAAAGGTAGGGTATCACCTGTCTCAGAACGGCCTTGGAAAGGTAGGGGGTCACCTGTCTCAGAACGCCCGTGGAAAGGTAGGGGATCAGCTGTCTCAGAACGGTCGTGGAAAGGTAGGGGATCACCTGTCTCAGAACGCCCGTGGAAAGGTAGGGGATCACCTGTCTCAGAACGGCCGTGGAAAGGTAGGGCATCAGCTGTCTCAGAACGGCCGTGGAAAGGTAGGGTATCACCTGTCTCAGAACGGCCTTGGAAAGGTAGGGGGTCACCTGTCTCAGAACGCCCGTGGAAAGGTAGGGGATCAGCTGTCTCAGAACGGTCGTGGAAAGGTAGAGGATCACCTGTCTCAGAACGCCCGTGGAAAGGTAGGCTATCACCTGTCTCAGAACGCCCGTGGAAAGGTAGGGGATCAGCTGTCTCAGAACGGTCGTGGAAAGGTAGGGGATCACCTGTCTCAGAACGCACGTGGAAAGGTAAGGAACACCTGTACCACTACGTTGGTTTTCCCACCGTAAGACCCTTTGCGTACTTACATCGTAGCCAACAAGAGTGATAAGTATACACTTGTTCGCAATTGTTGTAAAACAAATTAAGTTTATATCAACCCTGTCCGCTGCGATAAGCTTGGCAAAGAGTCGGGAATCAACTAGTGCAATGGAAGTTAATGAAAACGAAAAAAAAAGGGAAAAAAACGTCAGCACACCGACATGTTAATTTCTTGGCTACCATAGAAACACATACTCCTATAACGGTTCCCGGACGATATGTAGGCAACGCTCTACCAACCGTGAGATTTCTGCCTTTACGACAATCGGAAACGGAAGCTTACTATTGTTTACGTCACCGACAACGTTTTCACAGGAGAGTAACACGGGTCAGACAATACCAATGAAGTTGGTTGATCTGTTGATTGATTGGTTGGTTACAGGTTTTCCGAAAGAGTCCTATCTCTAGGCGTTGTTCTAACGACATCGGGTTGAGCCGTCTGTGAGGACGTCCGAAAAATTAGTAGTTTTAGAAGACAGTTCATAAATGCCTTCTCCTGTCAGTGGCGTAGATGGCGTTCGCAACATGGTACAAGTTGAGTCTAGCCTTTCTTGTTGGAGGGGCAAGGTTGAGTGGAGCCTATGCGATTTTGATTGAATATTACGTAATTTTATGCCTATCAAACCTTAATAAAAGATGCAATTTATCTTAAATCTTTCCCGTAAACCTCGGATCGGCGTTATCATACCTTCTTTGAAAAATTACAGATGGGTCTTTATCGGGCCACCGTTTAAAGTCCCGTCCCCGGACTATGATTAGTAGGTAGTGGTTAGATCACTGCACGAATAGTAATGATTAACACTTGCGTTTTCTTTAATCCTACTCAAACACTCGACTAATTTGACCACCTAACTGATGTCCATGCTTACTTATAATCCCTTCCACTCCGACTGCATACACGTGTTCACCATTCTGTCTTTTTCATAATTTTATGTGCTTTGTGTGAACATGCTGATTTTAAAAAGGTTGTGAGTCGTTAGGACAAGATAAGTTACACTGAAATGGAAAATGATATGACAGGATGGGAAAGCTAGGATAGAACGAGTTATTTTGAGAGTGAGAATCACTACACGTGTAGGTTGGCCAGGTTATGTTACAGGCTATGTGTTTAGAAGGAGTAATGTGTTATTCATAAGCTATGTGTTTAGAAGGAGTAATGTGCTAATTACAGGCTATGTGTTTAGAAGGAATAATGTGCTAATTACAGGCTATGTGTTTAGAAGGAATAATGTGCTAATTACAGGCTATGTGTTTAGAAGGAATAATGTGTAAATTCTAATTATATGTTGTATAGACGAGGTCGGTTGGTTGGTTGACAGGTTTTCCGTCTCCGTGACTCCTCCCGTGTCCGGGTATCGTCTCACCAACGAACGTCAGTGTTCTGGCGACGTTTAGCATGGTATTGTATGTGTGGCTAATTTTAGTAAATTGGCAAATTATAAAATTATTATGAAGATATATATGTTTCAGTGAAAAAGGCCAAAAGATGAAACATTAAAGTACATTGTTTGTCAAAAAATACAGTAGAATGTTGAAAATAAAAAATGTTTTACGATAGTCCAATACAATAGCAAGGCAGATAAGTCTGTTATATTTTTCCGATATATGTTTTGGTAGGCTGTTTTGTTTTTTATTTTGAAATGTAAACTTAGTAACTTACAAATAGAGACTAAACAAAACAAATAAAACTGAAGAATTACGAATGTTAAAAAATTCAAAGTACACGAACTTTTTAAAAAGATTTTACAGTGGTAGAAACTGTGGTTGAAAACTTGCCTGTCACCATCGATGTGACAATCTACGTTGATCGATGTTTAAGGGCATGGTCCAAACATCCTGACTTTTCATAAAGATGTCAACCAAAACACGGGATTTTAGACAGAGAAGTTCTGTAGTGGGCCTGTGGGATTCGGTTTCGAAAGCCGTTAATACGTCTGTACATCAGGTGATTTGTTGTCAGTAACACCGCTGTCGTGTACCTGTTAAGGAATGGTTTTTTTCAAGATGGCCGACCTACACGGCCATGAAAGGTAGGTGCTCTCTTTAAGCTACAAATTCACTGGTTTATGAATACAATCGTGACAAGTATCTCGCGAAACTCAGAAATATTCGTATTACGATATTTGTTTGGTGCTGTCACCGTCATATATACTTGCGAACCCTTTGCAAAGTTGAGCGAACTGTTGAATTTGAAAATTATCGCCTTCGACATTACAGTAATAGCAATGGTATCTAGCAGTCATCATGATAGTTCCTGATCAAACAGTATGTCTGTCAGGAAGAATAAAAACATTACATAATATATGGAGTTGACTTTTAAGGTGGATGGAGTGCAAATATGTCTCATCATTCAGGACCAATTCGTACCCGAAAGGGACCTGCTTTTGGAACCAATCCGTAACATTTTTCTCTTACTTGAAGTTGCTATATATTTCTTAGGACCAGTCCGTAACATTAATCATATTGTTGTCCTTCGTTTTTGTGAATGTAATAGGGCGATGAACTTTAATGATATATCGCTTAAAAGCGGATGTTATCGACGTATTTCTCTCGACAATAGATCACGGCAAGTCCCTCTTCGATGCCGAATTCAACAGTTCATTCAATTTTTGCGAAGGCTTCACAATTATTTATGACCAAGATAGCACCATACAAATATTGTAATACAAATTTCCAGTATTTGTCAGTTTCGCAAAGAATTTGTCACAGTCAGATTGTATTTATAAACCAGTGACTTTGTAGCTTAAAGACAGCACCTACCGTTCGTGGTCGTCTAGGTCCGCCATGTTGAAAACACCATTCCTTAACACGTACACGACAGTGAACACTGTATGTACATAGGTTGAAAAAAAAACATGACTATTCAAAGATTTTGCTTCTGACAATGGCTAGTGCACAATTTTATGTCCCTAAAATATGTTAAAACAAGAAATAAATGAATAGAAATAGATACAAAAAATGTCAACGTGTGTCTATATTTAGAATACTGACAGAATATGAATCGACAGGACAGAATATTGTACAAAAACACACAAGTGAATAGTACCTTTTTATATTTAAAAGTGATATACAGTAGAGCCGAACAATGAATTCAACTGCATCATACCGTTGTTTCGTCCTTCTAGAACTCGTCAGTGATACTAAGGGCCTAAAATTTGAAGCCTAGGGGGTGACAGAAAATTCCAAGGTGATCAAAAGAAGAAGTTAAAATCTAGACTAGGAGATGTAGCAGCCCCATAGTTTGGACAAATTTCGTAATTTTCATACGTCAGATAATCTAAGAATAGATTCAAGTACATGTGTATTTATGAATCAATACATTGATTGTATATACGGTTTTTGCGTTTTGGAGTGATACAGATTTGAATGACTCTGAGCAGTGGCGTAGCCTGGATCGAAAGTTGTGGGGGGCAAGAAAATTTTGAAAATTTTGGCTGCATTTCCTGCATTTTGAGCGTGTTTTTGAAGGAAAATAACGACACGATAATACTGGGATAAGTCGATATAATGTATTGAAATAAATCAAAGTTAGAAAAGACACAAATGGAAACAAAATAATGTCGGACTACATGTACATAACAATCAATAAGAAATATCAGTAAATGACAACATACATAAACATTCGGTTCTTTTGGGATGAATGTAATCTGACCTGTCAATAATTTGTTGCATCCGTTTCCATCGCGGCTAACGGGAAAGTGAGAGTTCTGATTCTGTTACCTGAGCTGAGTGTAGTTTGTGTGGTGTTAGTTTCGACAGAATGCAAGTCGATAAAATCACTGAAATATAGATATGAAAAATAAAGATGCAGAAAACTGGAAAATGGGACCCACAACCACCCCCCCCCCCCCCCCCCCCCGAAAAAAAAAAAAAAAAGTCACCTCTGGGACAATGGGGGGGGATTGCCCCACCCCCTTACCCCCCACCCCCTTACCCCCCACCCCCCACCCCCCTTGCCTACGCCAGTAACTCTGAGGATGTTATATGAGCGAGTTCGAAACGAAGACTGCTCCAATCGACTTTGTTATCTGGAAATGTTTTTATTCGAATTTTATAGGAGGAAGTCTTCCCTTCTGATCTCATTTGCTCAAACAACTTTAGTTAGAGTTAACACGTGATTTGTGAAAAATTCAAATTTCTGCCACTGAACAAACAAGAGAATCAAAAGCAAACCTAAAAATATCAATCTGAACCGTCTCAACAATCTACAGCTGTGAATCAGTTAGGCAATGTTCTCAATTTTCCTTAATTCATGTTTGAAATTTTTTGTTAGCCATTTTTTGTCGCTATATATAACAAGCTTTTGAACAACTGGGGCCTGATATCTTCGCGTGGTCGACATAAGTTTCCGAATATGTCAGATTTAGATTAGACCTGGCCCTCTAACGGTGGATCACCTCTGTTTTGTTGATGATCCACACTGTGCCAGCATGCTTACCAGATAATTTGACCGAAGACGTGTACGCTCGTTGAATTACATTTCAGATTTCGACGTGGGAAGCTGATAGTAGCATTGGCCTTTTTGATAAGTTTTTCTAACATCGGAAGTCATAAGTAACGCCCTGATAATCAGTAGAATTTATATTCTAAATGATGAGTCCGTGGAGTGTATGGTGGTAATTTTGAGGTACATGGTCCGCAAAGCAATACCTTATATCAGTTGACCGTAATTCACTCACGTGACCTTTACGTCAAATCGAATTACCCCTTGGCATTTTCTAGAACCATTTTATAACCAGATGTGATTGGATGACGTTTCTCAGTTGTCCTTGAGTTTACCTGTCTCCTGGAACCTGTAATATACATTTCGTTACACATACGACCCGACATGAGTAACAGGAGAGGTGAGATAAAATGTCCCTTGTTGATTTAGAACTCAGTAACATCAATGTTATTAATACAGACAGACGGTTCTATTGGGGAGAGACCTTTTCGAAATTCTTAACCACGAATTCCAATAAACTAGGATGACTAATTTACAAACATGCTTATATACATGTATTTTAACGCATACACGATATCTGTTGGTTAGATCGTGACCTTAATGACGTCAGCTTTTCGTTTATAAAACTGGCGACAGATAGCCCTTCAAATTGCTGTTATATTTGACGAGTTATAGTGAAGAAAGTAGAATACTTAGTAAGATATCCTCGTTTGGTTTTACGTCCCATTAACATAACTCATACTAGGCCGGCCTCCCTATCGTATGCTACAATTTGTAGGTCACACTGCAAAGCAGCAATGTGCACCTTAGAGTGTTACCACACTGAAATATACGGTCAAAATCCGCCAGCAGTAGATGACCTAGATTTATTACACTACCGCTATGCTGAAGGTTAAACAGGGAGTTCATAGAATGAGGACAAAGCTCAAAGTCTTCCTCACAGGGGCGATAACTCATCTTGAATGTAAAGGTGAGAAATAGCTGTTTCGAGAGAAGGCGAA